ATTCCACATTATTACAAATAATTTCATTTCTGGACATTTATGGTTTTATTTCTTTGAATGAATGGATCACTTGGGTTGTTACCAACATCTGGTGAAAATTTCATGTCATTAGCACCTCTAGTAATATATTTGCTGAGAAAAATGGTGATGTGTTCAATACTTATTTTACCCGCTGTAACATCAACTGTGCTAAAAGTTTGACCATATTCATGCACAGTGTATCAAATATGTTTCAAATGTTAATTTGTGTAAAGAAAACCAGTTGTGCCGTGTCTGAGCGTGACTTTCAGTGTGTCTGACGCTAATGAGGCCGGCTGACAGGGAGAGGGGGATCTTCATGTCTCTATGGTGTTTGGACACTTGCTCTCCTCCCAAGAGGCGAGCTGCCTGACAAAGCCTCTGCACAACAGACAGGAAGACTTGTCTTACCATCACATTAGTTCTTCTTTGTCTAGGAGAGGTAATGAAATTTATTTATCATTTATGAATGGAATGTTGCATTCTTTAATAGACCTCTGGCCATGAAATKTGTGCTTAATATTAGAATCAGTTTTCCTCCTCCTTGATTGAGTGATAGCTTTCACTAACAGAAAGAGCCAAAGGTGCAAAGGTGTGTGTCTCTATCTGTGTGTGCATGTGTGTGTGTGTTTGTGCAACTCTCCAGTGTGGCTTCAAGGCTGGGGGCGTCACGCTCCAAAGATCTGATGGACACCAGCCATCAAAGGCCGATAGACATGTGACAGATAAGCAGCTAAAAATACACTCATCTCTCTCAAATCATCTTTCTTTGTGCTTCTTTTTTTCTCTGCTTCTTTCAATTTGTTTCTATATATAAAATGAACATAAGCAAAAATGAACAAATTGTTTTTGCCAAATAGAGTTAAACCTGGTGGTTAACAGACCCATGTTGTGCTCTAACGTTTTTGTCAAAGTAGTTCTATTTTTACGAGACTTAAGAGAAAAAATAATTCTGATGCAACTTTTCTGCTAGTGCCCCCAGTTTGAACCAGCCTCTTGCATCTGTTTTGGCACATGGCCTGAGGTAAAATGCTTTATGGAAAAGAAAAAAAAAAATCAATGGCAAATTCATGAAGGACATTCGATGACATTCACATTCAACTCTCCTAAAGAAGGATTAAAACATTCAGTAGTGGTTTTATTTTTCAGGCCTGAGGGGACCAGACACACAGGGGGGAAATATAAAAATAAAAGTTCACCTGTTGGATGACAAAAGGTTCAGTTCAAAGTTTAAAACTCGTCAAGCCAAACAGGTGACAGAAAAATAAAATTGTAAAAAATAATAAACAAATAAATAAATAAATAAATAAATAAATAAATAAATAAATAAATTGTGTCTTTGAAACAATCAGAAGAAGCAATTTATTTTCACAATCACATTTTCACATTTTTCTTTTTCCTCACAATTATTAACTCCACCTGCTTTGTTGGGGAGCTTCATCAACCTCAGCTGACAGATGCAAACTGAAATTACTCACTGCCTCATCAAAACAAAATCAGTGCAGCACTGCAGAGAAAAATCAATGACGAAATCATCAAGGGCATTCACAGACAATCACATTTAACAGCGTTAAAGGGGAGAAATGGGCCAAATTCATGTAATTATTCGGCGCCATTCAAAATATATGACTTGCTACATAATGATCAATATTTCATCGCAGGATGCAGTTCATATAGGAAGTAACCATCTCAGTGTATGTTTCCGTGTGAAGGAGGAGCAAAACGAATTTCAACATAACATAAAATAAATAAAAAACTAAATAAGTTGTTTTAGTAAAACAATTTTTTTTAATAAAAACACATTTTCATTTTCTGTTGACTTCATAGCTAAGAATCTTGCTAAAATGTCAAATCTTACAGACAATGCAGACAACTTTGAAGTGATGTATATGTTTCCATTGGTGTAGTTCTGTATTTCCTAAGCCAGTGGTTTCTCCTCAAAGCCCCCCTTTATTTCCAAACCGAGCTGAGTCCCGCCCAATCCCTTTGCTACTCCCCACCTCTCCCAAAGAGGCATTCAAACTTAAACCTTAATCTCTGTATCAAAATAATAAAAGTGAATATTTACAAACTTATTAAGAAAAATGGAGCTGATTTCTACAGAGTTTTAAATGAGGGTGTTTTGTATTTTCCAGGGACATAGTTCAATTTTATATATCAAGTAACTGTGTTACCTACTATGTATCAAAAATAAATTTGACTTTGCATCACTGACTGTCTGAAGGCCTTGAAATTGGCCTGTTTAAGAACCTCCTACCTTTTCGGACACTCCCACTTCAGCAAGTCTTCATAACATGGCTTCACGCCATTTAGTACAACCTTTCGTGCCGTTCCCCCAGGTGTTTGCTAATTATTGTTGCTGCAGACCTGTGTGGGGGAGGCACGGTGGGAYGGGAGCTCAGTTGAGGACTGAGCTGCAGGGAGGAGCTTTGGGTAAATAGGTGGTGCTTTGTACCAGCAAGTGATTTATACGCAGGCTGAGAACCCCTGTCCTAAATTGTTGTCTCATATTGTGTCTGTTTACTGTTGCGCCTGGAAATAATTCTACCTGACTGCTGTGTAACATGAAACAAAAACAAACACATAAGATATATATATATATATATATATCTTATCTTTTTAGCCGAAATGTTACTAGTTGTCACGAATTGAATTCAAGTGATTTATTTACAATGTGGTGAACAACAAAAAACTAAAATGTGCAACAAAGGGAACAAGATCCGGGGAGGCTAGGTTCAGCAAGAACTGAAAACACAAGGAGAGGCAGGAAGAGTCTCAGCAGAAGTTATTAGACAAAAAGATCTTGAGGTTAAAGGGTTGTGTTGTGGTAGCTTACAGTAACTCTGGAGGCAGACAACTTGGGAGGAGGCACGTGGAAATAGAGAACTGAGGTTCCAAGAATCAAGAAGCAGGTGAGGCAGTCCAAAAGGTCCAACAGTTAGTTCCACAGGTGAGTCCAACTTGTAAGCTGATTCCAGGAGGCTGATATTGGCAAGGAGGTTGGGTAAGGTCTGAGAACAATGTTCCAAAAACCACACTTAGAAGTTCTAGAGAAATAATACTTGCTGTTAAACATTAAAGCAAGGTGGCCAGGAGAGGTACMCAGAAGGCGTGATGCTCCAGCGAAGACCAAGTCTCAGAATGAGCCTTTTAAANCCARTGAGCCTCATCAGGAGAGTGGAAACAGCTGTGGGAAGTGGAGAGCCTTAGAACCAATTAAGCAGAGCAGGGCAGGCGCAGAGCAGAATCATCACACTAGTGTTACGACACACTGACTTTAAAGTATGCCACTCAAGTCCTTCACATTACTTAATGTTATTATAGTAATGATGGCATCAAAAACAGAGCTATGAGAGCATATTTACCATATTTATTCAAGTAWAATACGTAAAATTAAATCCATAAAATCATCCATAAAGTTGGGGGTAGTATTATACTCGGATAAATATTTTTAGTTAGTATTTTAACTGAGATATCGGCTTCATTCACAAAATGCCTGAGTCCGGAAATGAAACGGTGACGTAAAAAGCAGTTGAAGCAAGCTTACCTCTGACACTCCTTCATGCCTCAGAGTGAGATAATAACAGATCCAAGCAGGCAACATGATGTGAAAAAAAAGAAAAGAAAAAAGCAGTCCTGCACCTTAGTAATGATAACAAACTAATGACATTATGTTCGTCTGTAAAGGCTGCCGTCTACCAGTGTTCTGAAAAAAATTTGTATCACTGAAAAAAGTTTCCCCACCAGAGGGGGCGCTCGCGAGTAGGAAGTAATCTGCTTTTCCCCCAGAAGATGGCCCAAATCTCATGTGAAGTCTCTGACTTCTGTGTTGGTGCCTCCTGGTGGACTTTGTGTAAAATACCAAAATTCATTTGATGCTGCTACAGCTGATTTACAGTATATTTGTTGTCAAAATACCTTTTAGTACATATGTTGTTAAAATAAAATGAACAGCCCAGTGATTATTTTACTGATATGTATAAAGACTGCAAAGGCTGAAAAATCTTGAAGTCTGTACGAAATTTGAGGTAGTTTGAGGATTAAATGTTTTATGCTTTTTAAGCTCAAAAAAGTGTGTGGGGGGGTCGTATTATACATGAGATCATATTATACACAAATAAATACGGTAACTAAATAAAAAAATGTTTAACTCAGCACCTGGTTTTGGTGGTGYAGACCTGCAGAGTGAGGCTTAAGTGCTGCAGTAATAGTCCAGGTTACACAGCACATCAGCTCAGCAGGTCTCATACATCCAGTACATTTTACACATGCCCATTGCTCTGATTGCCTGGTTATGGAATGGATAGCAAAGCTACTGTAAGTGAATTGGGTGTCTTCAATCTTCTCCAATCACTTAAGAGCCTGTGCATCAGCGCATGTCATCCATCATGTAGACCAGAACATGCCTCAGACAAACAGTGCATCAGCATTCTGCAGGGTTTTAACGCCAGCAGTTGATCGTCACCAAAGCTGGAGTCCGAGGAGATGATGACCTTGCAAATATGCTACAGGTGATATCAGATGTCTTCACCAACCTCTTGCTGCTCCAAAGTTAAAGGGTTAGACAGGTTTGAGTGTTATCACAAGAAGAAAGAGTCTTGGGGAGGAAAACTTAGAAAATTGGTGATGGATGGGGGGAGGGGGGGAGTAAAAATGGGAACAAAAGTTATGTTGATGAGAACAGGGTGCAGCAGAACATGCACAAGTACCACCTATCCACACTGTGTCACAGGATCCACAGTGTGAACCTAGAGGTTGGAGAGGTGTTGTTAAAACAGGGTCAACTTAGTAACCTTGGTAACATACCACCATAGGACAGTGGAGCTTATTACTGAATGCTTGACCTGCACCTCAGTTTTTCCTCAGCGCGGTGGAGCCATCTCCTGATGGCCTCACGTAATCCATAGATGGAAAGACTGTTTAATGGATTACTACACCCCCCTCTTTCCCTCCCCTCTATTGTCTCTACACAAAGGCATGTACACACTCACACATACGATGTATAAAAGCCATAAATATTCACGCTCACCAGCATCTAGACATCCTCTCAGAAAAAGAATCAGTGATAATCCTGAGCAGTTAATAAGTTAATACTGAAACAGGTGACAAATCATAATACTAAAAAAAATGTTTTTACCAAAATATTTATGAGATGAGTCTTGTGCCAGCAGGAATTGAATTTAAATTGCTCAGATTGAATCTGAATGTGCATAATCTGAAATTGAATACAGATGTTTGAAAATTAATTTTACTAAATTTAAACTGAATATAATGGTTTGGATTTGAATTAATTTGCTTTCAAACTGTATTTTGGTTTGTTAAAAATTTAGTTTGACTACTTTCACTTTCAGTTCCATAATTCAATTTCAATTCTAAACTAAAGATTTTTTGTGTCACACGTCCTGGTCCTTGAGAAAGCCAGCCAGAGTAATCAAACAC